TGAGGACCTATATTAGAGCCTGACTTCAGGGAGATTTCAAATTCTTAACATTTCGAACATGATATTCCTTTCTCTGGCAGCCTTCAAACACAACTTTCTCAAATTCTTTTCCCTTAATATTTTAGTGGATTTTTCTGTCCTGTCCAACTTTAATATTTCTCCATTCCTCCTTGTTTGTTAGCCCTCGTTTTCGTATTCCACCCTCTCTGAGAAATTAAATCTTCCTTTAATCAGAACAGTGGCGCTGTCACTCAGCTCAACGCCTGCAGCCCCTGGGGACAGTCGTTCCTCACCTCCCTCCACGGTTCCCTCCTCTGTGAAGTGTGGGGACAGCATCTACCTCATGGGGCTGTTGTCAGGGATCAATGACATAATGATGTAACTCGGCGAATGGTAGCTTTAATCATCATTAATAATATTCTTTTCGTTATTATTTAGAGTTTTGAGTTAACAAAATAGGACCATAACTCCTTTAAGCTATCTTTCCACTGGCCATTTTAATGGAACCTTCTTTCCCCACTTAGAATCTGAGCTCAGGTGACTTTTCAAGATTGCTGCCCTTATTTGAATTCCACCCATAGCCTCCTGGTCTCCCAGCAGCGTCCTATGGAGCTGTGAATAGAACCACCTGCCAGGAGCCACTTCTCCCCATGAGCTGGTTCACACTAACAACTGTCCCCTCAGCTCTCCTAGTCTCTGGTCACCATCTTCCAACCCTCAGCCTTCCCAAACATATTCAATTTTCACAGACCCCTGCCTTTCCGGCGGTTGACTTGTGTGAAATCTTACCTTTCACTATCATTTTCCAGTGTCTCCACCTGGCAGCCAGGATCAGGGGGCACTTGGAAACCTACTCAAGACAATTAGAAGTGTCTCTTCCTTCACTGAGAGCATGTTTGTGCTGTGTCTGCTACATGCCAGGCACTCAGGTAGGGGCCAGGGCTACAAGGGTGATGAGAAAGGATTCTCACCTCAAGGCCTCACCTGGGGAAGGAGAGGAAAGTGCACGTATCATTGCAGGGCAGCGTGATGCTAACTGAGGTGTGATCAGGCCCCCAGCGAGCGAACTCAGATCTCGAATCATTAGAGAGCGGGCTAGGACCTAGGTGGTGTCAGCGCCCCACCCCGCACCATACTCCATTCCCTTCCTCCAGCCTGTGTTCCTCTGTGGCCTCTTATAGGGAACAGCTCCTCTTTCTCTTCGAAGGAACCCTCCAGAGACATTGTAGGATCCACACTTCAGAATCAAGGGATGTAGCAAGGGCTCCAACATGCTTTTTCTAAGACCCTCCCATCACCCCCCCCCCGCCCTCAGCCCCAGGACAGAGAACACCCTGTCCAACGTTTCCACACAGAAACTCTCCAAATTGACTTCTAATAATAGCTGTTTGAAACGTCTCAGATGGTGTGGTTGCATGCAGCTTGCGTTACCAGCGGTTGGGTCCCTTCTCCTCCTCCAGATGTTCTCCCTCCCAGCCAATGACTGCTTTGCTCAGGTCCCTGGGAGCCACACTGTGTGTCCGCTGTGGCCACTCGCTCTCTTCCCAGCTTGAGCCCAGCTTTTGTCTGCTCTTCCTCCCTGGAAACCGAAGAACACAAACCTCCCGGTTCCAGACGACCCCAGGTAGCTCCTAAACTTCCCCCAGTCCTCTGAGCTACAGCCAGGACCACGCAGGACTGCATGAGCCAACCCTAGTCCCGGTTACCCTTGACCCGTGAAAGGAGGATGTTGCTTGCTGCCAACAGTGGTGAGAGAGCAGACTGATTCCAGCGCTCAGTTTTTTTTCTCGGTTAGGCGTTCATTCCTTGGGTCTGAGGAGTATTTTGGAATCTGAAAATATTGTCCTCACCAAAGAAGATAAGGGACTCCTTGACGCCATAGAGTGTCATGTGGTTGTTTTTCTTCTTAGTGGCCCTAGCACTTGATGCAATGCTGAGCATGTGACAAATACTTAATAAAGGCGTGCGGTATGTAGTGGTCAAGAGTCCTGCAGGCAGAGGGAGCTGGCCCCATCCCAGCCTTGCTACGCGTTAACTGTGTGACGTTGGGCAATGTGCTTGCTTGCGTGGGTGCCCCTTGGGTAGTTTGAGGGTTTATTCAGTCGTTTGGCAGATGTTTATTAAAAGCTTAGAGTAGAATTAGCAGATAAAAGCAAATGAAAAATAAATAAGATCATTTTAGATAAAGATGAGGGTAAAGCTGACAGGACTTGCTGATAGATTGGACATGAGGGTGGAGGGATAGGACGGGTCACCAGTGGTGCGTGGTTTGACCAGAAGGTAGGTGGGAAGTGTGGAGAGGAGAGAGAGAATGGGCAGCTCTCTCTGGGTGTCAAGTTTGAGGTGTCAGCCAGATCAGCATGAGTCAGCTGCCGAAGATGATATGTGGCCATTTTGGTGTCACCAATGCATAGGTGGCATTTGAACTTGGGATGAAGATTGTCCAATGAGAGAGACAGTCCATGAGAAGAGAAGAGGCCCAGCCTGCCCGTTGGGTGCAGCCCACCACCAGAAGTCAGGCAGAGAGGGGGCGCTGAGGAAGGAGGTGGGAAGAGGGTACCAGAGTCAGCGAGAGCGGGGACACGGCGGCCACTAGACGGACAGCACTGGACTCTGGTGCTTGCTCCTCAGAGATTCCCACAGAGTCTGTCAGACTCCTTTACCACCATGTTGTCAACAGTCACCAAGGAGGACATGAAAAGCATTAAGTAAAACAATGGCTCCGTGAGACTACATTTTTGGTGGGATTTTCGTCCACCAAAAAAAAGTTTTCAATACAAGTTCCAAATGGAAACTGCTTTCAGCTCAGGGCTGCCAGAGAGCCAGGCGTTCACACCTATGCCCGCGACATCGCTGGTGTCCCAGACGCCATGACCCGCGGTCTCATGCGTATCATCTGTTGCTTTTGCTCTGCCTCCCTCGGGAAAGCACAGCATCAGAGCTTAGCTAATAGTAAACTCTCTGAGTTAAAGATACAACTGCCACCTGCCCCCTCCCCAAAATGGCCCGCAGTGGGCTGCCGAGACCTTGGCACTTCGGATGGGGCTCCACATGTCAGCTATGCCCCCCAAGTCCTGTTGTCTTCTTTGCTGCTCAGTTTTCACTCCAGAGGAGGCCCATTCACCATACAAGTGGGTTTTGGGGATCAGCTTTGCTCAAATCAGAGTTTCCATCCTACCACCTGCCCCTGTGTCGCAGCCTCCACTTCTCACTCCCGTTTTCTACACACACGTATAAAGAAGAAAAGGCATTTCTCAAAGTGGCAGCCTCAAAGTCTTAGGAAACTCTGGCACATTCAGACTTTTTTCTCTTTTCGCTCTTTGTGTAAACCTCTCCCCTGCACCTCCTGTGGAGATCAGTGATTTGGGGAAATGATTGGGGCCCCCCTTTCCAGCTGTATGGGGTTGTCAGCACACATGAACATGTAACTCACGTGAGTACACCAGTAGGAATTGCTTTCCTTTGAGTGTCAGCATCTTTTAACCAGTTTGTCACCAGGACAGCAAGCTCTGAAATTTCTCTGTGGAGCCTCTGCTGAGACTGGCTGTTGCTCATTAATGTCACTTGCAGTCAACAGTGACTCTTACAGTTCTGCAACCACCATGTCCAGGAGTCCTCGTGCCCTTTTCAAGAAATAAGCTTGCCCTAGACGTAAAATGTGAGATGAGTGGTTTATCATCGGTGATCAGAGTGTAATGAAGCTGACTACCTTGGGTAACTTTGCTTTATTTACATAGTCACACCTCGTGTAGCCCTGTCTGTTTTTAAAGTACGTATAGATAGATAAAATGTGAAAATTGGGCAGAACTACGTTCGGAAAAGAGCCCGAGTAAAAAGCTAGGTCATATGCCTAGAATTCCCCCCATCGCTGCGGAGGTGAGTGAGTGTGTTAGAAGGCACTCTGCATAGCCCTTCTGAATAGACAGTCAGTTGAGTAGTACAATAGAGAGGCACTTAGCCATTACTTGCAAAGGGAAGAATAAATCACAAGTACATTGCAGATGTCATGGGAAATGCCCAAGGTGAGAAGGCATGGGTTTGTACCTAATGTACCTGGGGTAACAGTATAAGAATGCCCAAAGCCAGGGCTCTGCCATTTACAAAGTGCTGGGGACAGCCTCTGCATTGGGAAGACGGGAGCAACCCTGAGAAGGACCTAGCTGCCACTGCTGCTGAGCTGTATGGCCCCACGGTCTCCTTTCTCTCTAAGCCTCAGTTTGCTCATCTGTAAAATGGGACATCACCATTTTCCTGAAAGGAACGTTTCAAGGCCAAATATATTACTGTATGTGACTGCTCTTGACAAAGCTCTAAAGCGTTGTATGTGTTTTTTCTAATGCCTTCTCAGACATTATTTAACCCCACAAGAACTCCATAATGTATCCTTGTATTACAGGTAAGGAAGCTGAGAGCTGTGGGCTAAAAGATCCCGTGTACTATGGTACATGGCACTTTAAAAAATGCCATCAATTGTCCTACGAGTATGGAAATAGCTGAGACATTTCTTAGGAAGCAGTAGTTACTGGGATGGAAGAACCAGGGATTGTCCCTCTGTCCTGTCCCAGGCACCTTAGGACCTCTCTCTACGGCCACTTACCATGAGAAGCAGTTACTCAGTACTACACACTCATGAAAGATGAAGACCCCACCCCGCCCAGCCCCACCGTTAGCATCAGAGGTGTTGGTACCATCCTAAGGGAAGACTATTCTGTGAACCAAAGAGATTTCTTTAACAAAAGAGTGAAATTTTTACGTTTCTTATTATAATTGGATTGAATACATACTCTGTTCCCTCAAAACAGCTAAGTTCTGTTGAAAGAATAATTATGTTCTTGAAATGTCTTAATGTTAAGCATTTCTCTGAGTGTGAATTTGGAAATACGTAGCATGATATCATTTTGTTTTATTATCAGAGTATTGGGTGGTGGGGGAACGGTTCTCCTGTAAAAAAGACATTTTATTAATTGATTTCCATTTTTTTTTTCTGCCTCTCATTTCAGAACGGTTTGATCACCACTGTCCCTGGGTAGGCAACTGTGTGGGGAAAAGAAACTACAGATTTTTTTATATGTTTATTTTATCTCTGTCTTTTCTGACAGTCTTTATATTTGCATTCGTTATCACCCACGTCATTCTTCGTAAGTATGCTGGCGAAATCAGATTACGTATGTAACCATTTGCCTGACTTTGGTTTTCTGATTTAATTTTGATTTACTATTTTGATCATTTCGGGCTTTCTCTTTTCTTCTCTTTTCCCTTCTCCCTGTCCCCTTCCTCACTTCCAGCCTGCGCCCCTTTTCTGTTTCTGGCCTTCCTCCATCCCCTGTCATCCTCCCCGTCTCTCCCTTCCATTCCCCATCCCCATCCTTCCAGCAGCAGCTGCCAGGGTCACACCTGGGTCAGGCCCTCTGTAACTTACAAGACTTCTTCCTTGATATACTTGTCCCTATTCCAACCTCAGTGACTTCACTTTCTGTTCTGCTAAGGGATCCCCTGGAAGAATCATATGCACATTTTGCACAAAGGATAATGTGCTGCAGTCATAACAGTAAAGCTCTTTTTAATTTTTTTTAACGTATTATCTACTTAAGCAGTCACCCTCCCTAGAAAAAAAGCATCTGGGGATAAAGACTAGGTTTTCTCACATGCAAATCTACATATGTTAAAGACACATGTTTGATAAGATGTTCATTTGTCTGTTAAAACATCAGTAAACTACCCCTGGCATATGAAGGAAGCAACTTGATGAAAAATGAGATTTGGATATAAATGACTTTAATATACTGGGAGTGCCCAAAAAAATGTATACAAGTGGACACTTTGGTCAACGTTGCCCACGCAGTAGTTCGCCATAATCAGAAGTGTCTGGACGCTGATGGTACCCACTTGGAGCACCTCTTGTAATTGCACAAGTCAAACATGACTTGTATTCATCTTTTGTTATCAGTATATATTGAGTATTAAATTTTAATAGCTTTTCCTTTCTTAAAATGTGTATACATTATTTTTGCCATCCTCTGTATATTTGCCTAAGCAAATGGCATTTTTCATTCCCATTTCTGAAGGTCATAACTTTGAATTTCTTTTGTCTCTTTGGTCATTCACTTTCCTAAACTAGGGAGGGAATGATGAGAAGGAAGGTAATTGGCTTTGAACTATAAATTTAAGCCTTTAAACTTCCATTACAGCGCCATTAGCAATGCGAAAGACCAGCAATGCCTCCTGTGCACATTCCTGAGGTACAACCAGCCATTAGGAAGTACAGGGCCTTTCTGAAATGTTCCAGAAAGTATCTGAGTGCATGCCTTACCTTCTTCCCAGGCAGCAGCATTGAAACCACAAGTGGGGGTGCTAAGGCTGAAGTTAGAAAAACTTTCCGCCCCTTCCCTTTCAGTGGGGTTTGTATGGAGCCCGAGGGAAGTGGGAGATGTGGAAAATTTCACATTAGTTCTTTTTTAAATATTGGCCAATTTTGGACATTAAATGGAGTAGTCCAACTTTTCCAAGGCATTTTAAGTCCTAGTTTCCATTCTTCCTGACTGAAATCCTTTCATCTGAATGTGACACAAATTTGTAATATATGCCTGAGCACAGTAACTTGGCAGGATTGCAAAAAGTGGGTTGATGTTCACTAGAGACCCTTCCCATGCGACCTGGGGATGATGCCAGTGTGGCTCTGCAGGGGCCCCTTTCTCTCTATTTTCAGAGTGGCAACATGGCAGAAGTAACCAGGGTCCCATCTGTGTATTAATAAACAAAGGAATCAGAGAGGAGATGCAATTGTGTACACAACTGTGGAAGAAATAACTACTGATATTCCAGCATATTATCTGTGACGCTAGAAGATATTGTTTCCACGTTACATTTCTATATCACCATTAATAAATTAGAAATGCTTTCCTAGATATATTATCACATTGTATTTATGGCCTAGCCCCTACATTCTAAATATCAAGGGCCAGTTTTCATTTGCTCAACCACACACATAAACTCTGGGAACACACACGCGCACGCGCGCACACACGCTGTGATACCAGCTGTGGCTGTGAAGCCACCATTGGGTTGTGATGTGCATTCCCTTTCTCATCTCCTCTCAAGTTTCAGTCACCCGGGCTCCAGCAAACTAGAGCTTGCTGTGGCTTGTGCTTGTATATTGCCAATCCCATCTTCCACAAAACAGGCATTCGGAATTTATCTGCCTGCAAGCTACCCAAGCATTTTAGACAAAAGCAAATAATTTTCCTCTCAGCTTGCTCTGCACCCGCCCCCCAAAAAAGACCCTAAACAATGCCACCCCGACCCCCTTTTGGCTTGGCCTGTGAGGTTTTCAGAAAGGGCAGACATTTTTATATGGTTTCCATGATTCCCCATCAGATTCTGAAAACACTGGCAAAGGCAGAGGGATATTTGAGAGCAGCTGGGGAACTGTCCCCTGAGTTCCCCCTGCCTGGTAATGGGCTCTGAGAGGGGGGACATGACTGGGTGGGGAGAGCAGGTAAGAAATCTGCTATCACAAAGATTCCTGACAGGATGATTTCTGGAATTCCTCAGAGAGGAAGGAGAGTTTGGAAAAGAATACCCTTTGGGTCCAGTAGGGAGAGAGGAATCATTCCTTCTGGTCTCATTTTGCCTCAAGGCTGTGTTTGCTCTAAGATCTGCAGCATCCACTTGATGGGTTTGTCCTACTGGCCCAGCAGGGCTGGAAGAGAAAGCCCTAAGCTTTCCTTATTAGTTCTCCCACTGGTTGGCTTCCGAGCACATGGCCCAGCCTCGTGCCTCAGGGGTGGCCAGTGGGTGCAGAGAGGACGGGAATGGGAACTCGAGGAAGAATGTGGAGGCTTCCATAGCCAGACACAGTTTCCAGTTACACAGAGGGGTCCAGGGCCCTGCCTCTAGCTCCCACGTTGCAGCCACGCCAGCAGAAAATGCTGCAGAGATACACTAGAACCAGTCCACTGTGTCTTCTCACTGTTCATCTCAGGGCTGCCCCAGGGCCACATCATGTCCCCAAGACACATGGTTCCATGCAGCACAGCAGGCACCCGGCATCACCACTCCATGATGGGAGCTTCTCGAGTACCTCCGTATGGGCTTTAAGTCATAAAAACCATAATGTCAATACATAAAATAAAAATTGCTTCTTGTCAGATGCATCTTTACTCAAGTCCTGAAAGAAATGTTTTCTTGTACAGAGAGCTCATATTAAAATGTCTTACACCCAAAAGGAGTTAGTAATACACTTCAGCTTTATGAGTTTGTTTACTCTGGGTGCAGAGAAAAATGTCTTTTATACGTAGCCTCGTTTCTAGGACATCCAGGGTCAAAAGTTAATAAACTCCAGAAAAACAGTCTTTCATAAAAGAAGAGAGAAAAAAATCACGTACAGTATTCTGTTTTCCTATTAAAATGAAGAAAACAAAGGCGTAATCAGAACTGTAATTTATGGGAAAGTGTGCAGACATCCATCTGCTTTTATTGAGAAAAAAATATCCTGCAGCTGTTGGGTCAAATTATGAATCTGCCATTTTCTTGTTGAATAACTTTAGTGGAATCTCAATCTTGGATCAGTACACTTAGTGCCGTAGCACATACAAAATATAATTATTTCATTGATCTTTAGACACCTATTATTTCTATGTAGATGAGAGACCTTTCAGCATGAGGGCTGTTTTTCTGGAGGTGAATGTGTGAGTACTAAATTTTGGCTTCATTCCCACAGGCTCACAGCAAACAGGATTCCTAAACGCTCTTAAGGACAGTCCTGCAAGATATCCTTTCTGGTTGTTGCGTTTGTGACGAGGCTGGCGTGTTAGGTGTTGGACCAGCCTTCTACTCAATTACCTCTTCATCTTGTTCCTTGGCTTGCATTCTCAGAAACCGTGTTCTTTTTTGTTCTATAAAGCATCCAAAGAACTCCCTAATATTTACTTACATGAGTAATCGCGTCTGAACGCTTGAACTTCACAGTGACTCACTTAGCCTTGTTTAAATGGAAGCGCTTTTTAGCTAGAACGCCAAGTGTGAACTCTTGCCACCCCCAGAAACCCACATTAATTTGTGTCCGGTCAGGTTGTCTGGGGAGAAGGAAGGCTGAGGCCTCCAACTGGCTTCCTTTTGAACAGCAGGTGGTCCCTACAGAGCACTCGTGGACTCCCCTGTGTGCGTCCCTTGCTTGGTAGTCAGTCATCTGATGGGAGTCCCCTGAGCCTCTGGGTAGATGGTCTGGGGGTGCAGCGTGGCTTTCCTCTGGGCAGTATGAATGACCCATGTTTATTTGCAGGAAGAGAACACCTTTTCACAGCCCAGAACAGACTAAAATGGTCAATCTCAACTCATGTAGGTCAATCCCATCCTTTCAAACAGAACGTATGAGCACGAGTCATAGCATTTTAAACTTTTTTTTTTTTTTTTTTAGCTGAGCCATCCTGCTACCTGTTGGCAGCTCAGCGGCTGCTCAGCTCGGGCTGGACTCGAACCGCTGTTGCTCAGAGCTCAAACTCTTGAGCGAGCTCTTAACCAACTGAGCCACTCGGCCGGCCCGCATTTTAAACTTCTTTAAAAAAAATGTTCACCCTTTAAGTGCTTGCATGGCTCCCCGTTCCCTCCCTGCCCCCTTGGGTTTTACGCTAATTGGTGTAGCATCAGCCCCTGGGCCCACTGACCTGGCTTCGTCCAGGACCCAGTTCTCTTTCTTCTTCATATAACCAGGTAAACTTGAACCTCTCGTTACTCTTATGAGTCATCACCTTGTGGTAGAGAATTCATAAAGAGTGAAGAACTTTACTGAGATGTACATATCACGTGTGTACATTTCAGTGGACGGACGGATGTCAATGACAGGAACTCCTCTAAGCCGGGCGGGGAGACCACCTCCTCACTGGTGACAAAGGCTGATCTGAAACCAGCGGGGTTTCAGCTGCCCCGTTCCCTGGGGCCTGTGGGCTACCTGCTGCCCACTTGGTTCTCCTGGGGGCACCTTCGGGCACAGCTCCTCCGCTCCAGTGGGGGCTTATTGCTGCCAGGTTTTCGCTGTATCCATTACAGACCTCACAACTTGGGGGTCTTATCCTCTCTCAATCCTGGAAGGAATCGAAGAAAAGACCAGGTAGCAAGTCCTGGACTGGAATAATAGCTTTTAATTCCTGCTCCGTCATAATTCATTATAAGGTCTGGGTCATTTCTTTTAACCCTTTCGTGCCTCAATTTTTTGACCCGCAGTAGTCAAATACTCTGTATTTGACAATGCTATGCTGACAAAATCAACGATTTGGAATATATGTGAGAACACTCAACACCAAAGCATTGCTTACGTGCATGGCAGGAGTGATTTCAAGGAGGCTTCTTTGTGACAGTCTATGCAATGGACAGCCTTTGCCAGAACCTTCTTTTAGAGCACGTGTGCCTGCTCATTCTCATGATTTGGCTGTGCTTGTAGTCTGTATAATCAAGAGCATTGTGTTCCCCTGTAAGGGGAATAGACAGATGCTGCTGATACAAAGAAAGAGGGGCAATGCATTCGAAATGGCATGATGGCTGCTGGAGAAACTCTTCACGTGGAAAGGGGACGAGACAAATGCTCCTGTTTGGTCCGGAGCAAGTTCTAGCTTGTTTTCGCTCTGAATGTCATTCTCAGGTAGCGGTAAAGACGTTTCCCTATGGCCCGGTTTGGAAACTCCTAAAAATCTCAGCCACTACCTTTCCAAACTGTTGCCATATCTAGCTGCTGCCCCTCCACCAATAACCTGATGTTTTCCCCTTTGAGGTGTTACCCAGGCATGTCCTCCACATTCAGGAGCTCGGTGACCACAGCTGTGGCGACCACAACCTGCTGTGAGAGCTTGACAAGCCCCTTACAGCATCCAGACACAGCTGGGCTACAGGACATCCTAGCCCCTCCCAGGCCAGGGCCTCTCTCAGCCCTGCTCCAGTGCCTGTCGGCTGTATTAGCTTCCTGTTGCTGCTGTAACAGAGCCACGAATTTAGAGGCTTAAAGCAATTACACTTTATTATCACATAGTTCTGTAGGTCAAAGTCCAGGAGGCGAGGGTGGTTTCTGTTCCAGGTCCCACAAAGCCAAAATCAAATTGTCAGCCAGCCTGGACTCTTATCTGAAGGCTTTGGGGGAACCCTCTCCCAGGCTCACTCAGGTGGTTCACTGAATTAATGGGATAGAAGACGGAGGTCCCTGTGTCCTTGATCCATCCCTGACTCGTGAGCCCTTTCCTTTTCAAAGCCAGCACCAGTGGAGTGAGTTCCGCTTGCACTCTGCCTCTCTCCTGCCCCTTCTTCCTCCATCTCTCTGACCTCACAGAACCTCCTGCTTTGACAGACTGGCTCCATCCTGAGAGTTCCGGAGAATCCCCCCATCTTAGTATGTATAAAATGTTAACAGAATGCCCCATGAGGCCCTTGTTGAACTAGCCTGCCCATCTCAGTTTTCAGAGATTATTGTCATCATAACTTTGCTCCCACTGATTTGGGTCCCACTCGGCTTTGTGACACCTTCTGATGGTTTTGTGCACCGTCACGCTGGGCTCCTGCCTGGAAAAAGGCAACCTGAAGCTGAAGCCAGAATATCCCAGGGCAGCTGCCTCAGCCAACAGAAAAGACTGTCTGCTAAAACCACCCCATTTCTCTCCCAGAGAAAAGCAAGCGCCAAGAGCAAGGTGCAGGCGGAATCTGACAGCAAAGCTGCCTGTCCCAGCCAGGAAGAGAGGAGCAGGGAGGTGACACGAGCGGTCTGGGCAATGCTCTCAGCCCTGAGCTTCTTGATTCTTTTTAGAACTAGAAGAGAATGTCAGGAACATCAGACATACCCATACTCAAAAGTGAGGTGCTGGGTCTTTTAATAGTTTATGTGTGCCACTAACACCCCTCCCCCGTCAACGTGTGGCTACCCAAGGCCCCCTGTTCTGACGGGTGTTTTCTGTTTGAAATAGGTGCTTTGGAGAACCTCTCTCTCTCTCTCTGTTGAGTGAGTCTATTAGTAAGTGTTGAGTTATGTTGATTTATCATAAATTTGTATTCCAGAAGAAAAAATATGCTTTAGGTTCTACTGGTTTTGGAGGTGCTTTTGAAAAAATACGAAGTTCTGGTCAGTGGTGATAAGCAGGGCTGGATCCCATCAGGGCAGCTGGTCAGTGTACCTGGCTGTCTGTGTGGCTTTGGAGCTGGAGGGGGATGGCGGGGTGGAAGCTTCTGGAGCGGCAGCTCTCAGCTCACTGAGAAAGGTGTGCTCACCATGGGGGCAGCTCAGAAATGGCCTACCCCAGGGGAGCAATGCGACCACCGGGGGGTGCTCGAAAGGAGAGTGCATCCTGCTTGTCAGTATGGTAGGAGATTCTAGCACCAGATAAATGTTAAACTCAATAGCTCTGAGCTCCTGTCCACTGCGGAGTCCTGAGAACTTGGGAGTCTCGTTTAAGGTCGTTGATTTATGATGGATGAGACTGATCTGTGACATTTTACTCGTAAAACTGTCCTCTGATTAATGGTATTGCTGTCCACAGCTGGTGCTCTCCAGACCTGTAGTCTGCGTGGAGCAAGAATCTACAAGGTGCTGAGCTATTAAAACAAGGGGGGTTTTCTGGCTGGGCTGCCTGAGCACAGGACTGGAGTCTAGTGTAACTTTTGTAACACTGCAGGGTGTTCTCAGGCAAGGAAATGGCGTCCATTTAAAACTTCTCAGTGGCCTTCAATCTGATCCTCTGACCATGCTATAAACATACTGTGATAAGGAAAGAGGACACAGGCAAAGGTTTCTCACCATGGATTTACCCTACAAAATGTCCAACCAAAAACAGTGTCTTCGATGAAGCGAGATTAAAAACAAAAATGGCTAGTGAACAACCGACCAAGACCACTCATCAGAAATACTGACAGGATTGATGGAAACATCCATCAACGAAAAGCGCCTCATCAGACCCACGTGAAACAGCAAGGCTTTAGGAGAAAGGGGTCAAACAGCTCATTCAATAAGCAGAGCAGGACTGGACGGGGTCTAGTTGCCGAGTGTGGCCAAGGCAGGGCGAGGAGAGAGGGAGAGGGAACCTGGGAAGGGGCTGTGGGCAGAATGCCAGCCCCACCCCAGCACCCTCAGCCCTGCCTGTGGTGAGCGAAGGGGAAGGAAGCTTCCTGGTCTCCCTCTTCTTCCTCCTCCATCTCCACCTTCCCTAGGCTGCTCACTGGCTCCCTGTGGCCTGAGGCCATTTCTTCCCTTTCATTTCTGCATCAGAGAAGCAGCGGGATGCAGGCCTCTAGGGCAGTGGAGTGGCTGCCTGGTGCTGTGAACTTTCAAGAACCTCCTGGCCTTCCCCAGGGAGAGGAACAAAAGGAGAGTCTTCTCCAAATAGGATGGGTCTGGTCCTCAGTCCACACAGCCAGACAGGCTCCAGCAAAGGAGAACCATTGTGCATCTGTTTCCTTCGGACTCTTTACTGCGCACCCACTGCATGCAAAACCTGCTGGGGTTCCCAAGTCAAAACGAAAACAAAAACAACCCGCCCAGAGTTTGAGCACCTTCCATCAAAAGGGGACAGAGCAGCGATGCGGGCAGCCTGACTCATTTTTTTCAACCAACATCTGTTGTTGCCAAGATCTGGGCTATGACTCTGATTTCTTCAAAGCAGAATAAGTCCTAAGTGTCATAAGAAGAAGTCGTAGGATGCACTTGAGGTGGGGAGTGATGTCCAGAAGGAAGCTGTACATCCTGCAAGGAAATCAGGAAAGGCATTGACCGGTGGCGTTTGCACAGGGTTTGGAAAGATGA